ATAATAATGATGTGTTAATGTAGGGACATCAATTATAACAAATGTACCACTCAGGTGTGGGATGTTTTTAATGGGGGAGGCTATATACATGTGGGAGCAAGGAGTATATGGTGTATCTCTGCACCTTCCTTTCACTTTTTTTTCTTTTCTTTTCTTTTTTTTTTTTTTTTTGAGACGGAGTTTCACTCATGTTACTCAGGCTGGAGTGCAATGGCGCGATCTCGGCTCACCGCAACCTCCGCCTCCTGGGTTCAGGCAATTCTCCTGCCTCAGCCTCCTGAGTAGCTGGGATTACAGGCATGCACCACCATGCCCAGCTAATTTTTTTGTATTTTTAGTAGAGACGGGGTTTCACCATGTTGACCAGGATGGTCTCGATCTCTTGACCTCATGATCCACCTGCCTCGGCCTCCCAAAGTGCTGGGATTACAGGCTTGAGCAACCGCGACCGGCCCTTCCTTTCACTTTCATTGTGAGCCAAAATTGCTCTAAAAAATAGTCTTTTAAAGCGTATCTCCAGGCCGGGCACTGTGGCTCATGTCTGTAATCCCAGTACTTTGGGAGGCCGAGGTGGGTGGATCACTGGAGGTCAGGAGTTCGAGACCAGCCTGGCCAACCTGGTGAAATGCTATCTCTACTAAAAATACAAAAATTAGCTGAGTGTGGTGGCGTGCACCTGTAATCCTAGCCACTTGGGAGGCTGAGGCAGGAGAATCACTGCACTGCAGCCTGGGCAACAGAATAAGACCCAGTCTCAAAAATAAATAAATAAACAAAATAAAATAAAATAAAATAAAATGTATTTCTAGAATTGTCTATTAACTGCAAAATATATGTAGAAAACTGCGTATAGTATGCTACTCTTTATGCAAAACAAAAAGGTATGCATATATACATAAATTCTAACAGCATATGCATAGACTATATCTGTAAAGATACACAAGAAATTGGTGGCAGCAGCTGTTGCCTTTGTGAAGGGCAACTAGGTAGCTGGGAGACAGGAGTCAGAGGGACATCTACATCTCATTGTCATCTTGTGTTCGGATTTCACACCAGATGAGTATACTACCTTTTTAAAAAAGTTCATTCCAGGAGAACAGTTTCCTGTCAGAAGATTTTAAAGTATCCCCACCATCTGGTATATACTCCTTCATCTAGTTTAGAAGGTCCAGGGATCATGGGATAGGATTTAGGGATAAGGTCTTCCAATGATATAGCATTCTGAGTTCTCCTGCTAGGCTGTGAGCTACTGAAGAGCAAAGGACCATAGTATTACCTGTACCTGTCACAAAGTCTGACACATTTAGGGAACCTGATTTTCTTGAATTCATCTGACGTGTTATCCTGGCCATTCCTTTTGACCTACTCTTATAAACCCAGACACAGAAGGATTCTTTACCATTCACTCTGCCCCTGTAATGATGTTTTAAAAATTAACTCATTAGCATAAGTCATCGTCATGTCAACAACTGTCTATCCCTAAATATCAATGCTGAAAAAGATGGAGGCTTATTCTAGTGAAGGCAGGATTTTTCATGGAAATATGATTTATACATTTCCTTTTTATCTTAATATCTCTATGTTTGTGAACCCAATGACTCATAAGACATCTTAGCTAAAATCTCCCATCTACAGTCATCATCCTGTAACTTCTAGAGGCTTTGTTTATACCTATATAAGGTACTTACTTACTTGTATTAGTTATCTGAATTATATAACTTATCTCTCATACTAGAGTATAAACTTCTTAAGGGCAGGGGAGCCTTATCTATCACAGTATTCCCACAGTTACTTTTATCTAGGTCAATTATCTCTGAAGACAGTTCATTTAATTAAAATTTCATAATTTAAAAATTAAATAACTTTTAAAATATGATTTAAAACCAAACTAATTTGCTTAAAATAGTAAAGTGGGTTTGTTTTGAGGGTAGTTTTCCAAGCATATTATAGAAAGAAACTATGCTATTATAACTAGACCAAGCCTCATCCCTTGTGGATGTTGCTCTGTCTTCATGGAGGTGAGATCAGCACTTTTTCTATCTATATATTAGCACTGTGTCCTTTCTCCCTTCCTCAATCATGTACACCTTGCATCTAAGCTAAAACATTTCTAAAAAATTGCTAACTCTTTTGAAACTTGGTAAACAAATGCTAAATAAGGAGACTAAGGTCCCTAGCAGGGAGAGGGGAGAAGATGGTAGTCCCTTCTGAGAGTACCAGTTCAATAGCTTCCTACACAAGGAATCTTGTTTTATCTGCTGGACATTGCTGACCCTGACAGCCAGCTCCAGAAACACTGCAGTACTGGCTTGGTGTTAATAGCAGATGGTTCAAGATGCATTAAAAACTGCTGAAAGCTTTTATTCGTTTGGTCTGCCACGGTAGTTCTTTCTCAAATAAACAGAACTCAAACCAAGCTAAAAGGAAAGCTGATTTTCTCCCCAGAGGAACAAATCAATACTATAATGTAAGTTATAATGGTATTTATGATACTGAACTTTGTTATTCTGTAATTCATTAGGTGAGATAGGTTATACTTAAACTCCATTATAAAAGGTAATTCTTTTTCGTATTACAACTCTTTACACTTGTCCTTAATGGAAAAACACGCAATTACTTTTGCACCAACCTAATAGTAAGTCTTGATGAGGGCAGAAACCACATCTCTTCCATCTTTGAATCTCCCACGCTGCCTTAGGTATAGTAAATTTAAAAAATACTTGAATTAATTTTTTCAAGGATGCATTGAATCTGCTCATTAACAGATAACTAAATTCTAAAATCCAGAAACCTCTATTTAAAAAAAGACTCAACAGTTTTATTGATGTGCCGTAATTATTTCAGAAAAAAAATTTTCAGTTTATTTAGAGACTCCACCTGAGCTAAAACAACTTTCTGGGCAATAGCTGTATACATTTAGTGATGGACAATTCACATCAGACTGAAGATCTCTTGAAATTGTTCTGAAAGAAAGGCAGAGAAGCTCAGAGAGATTTTTTAACTGTCTTCAGTTTCTTGAGAAGTGTCATGGAATTATTAAAGATATTAACTTTAAAATAAAAAATAAATATCATTAAGCACCTTATAGGAGAGGGCAGGGACATGTAACTAAACCACACTTGAGTATTGCAACTCCCACAATATTAGAAATCATACTTGGAAGAAGCAGGCAAAGTTTAAATTCTCTTTGGTATAGTCTTCTCATTTCAAAAACTGGAGCAAGAATAAATTCATAACTCATGAAAATGTGCTGAGAATTAATTATTATACATTTTCTCTGTATTTTAGTACAGTTAATCTAGAAAGGTACCAAATATTCTACTTAGGCAATATACTTATACATGTTTACAACATATGAAATTGCCAACGAAAGCTTAACTTTGGAAATAATCCATAACCTCACTTTCAGAATCTAATCTGCATACCAAAGCACTGAAATTTCTAAAGCTAACTACCAATCCTTTACTTTAGTTTGAGTCTCTTTCTTAATGGCTGCCTTAAGCATTATAATTAACATTTTAACCTAACACAATCTAGTTCAGATTAATACCAACCAGTGTCAATAATATACAAAAATTCTGTTCCCCTATAGCTCTGTTCCCTCCCTCTCCCTCTTTTGTGCTATTGCTGTCATTCAAATTATATTTTTATATGAAATAAGCCAATTAGTTTTGTATTTTATGCAGCTGCTATCCTTTAAATCAAAGACTTATTAACAAACATACCTTTAAACTGTCTTTTATGTTTACCTATATAGTTACCTTTACAAGTACTCTTTATTTCTGTACATTCAAGTTAATAGTTTCCTTTCATTTCACCCTGAAGGATTACCTTTCATATTTCTTACAAAACAGGTCTGCAGCAACAAATTATCTGTTTCTGTTTATCTGGGAATGTCCTAATTATCTTGCATTTATAAAAAATAGTTTCGCTAGATATAGAATTCTTGGTTGACAGTCTTAATTTCTAGCATTTTGAATATTTCATCCAACTGCCCTTCCAACTCAGTTTCTGATGAGAAATTAGCTATTAGGCATATTGAGGCTCCCTTGTCCATGACGAGTCCCTTATCTCTTGTTGCTTTTAAGAATCTTTTTGGGCCAGAAGGCTCACACCTGTAATCCCAGCACTTTGGGAGGTCGAGGCGGGCGAATCATGAGGTCAAGAGATAGAGACCATGATGAAACCCCGTCTCTACTTTTAGTACAAAAATCAGCTGGGTGTGGTGGCATGCACCTGTGGTCCCAGCTAGTTGGGAGGCTGAGGCACAAGAATTGCTTGAACCTGGGAGGCGGAGGTTGCAGTGAGCCGAGATCATGCCACTGTACTCCAGCCTGACAGCTGGCGACAAAGCAAGACTGTCTTAAAAAAAAAAAAAAAAAGAATCTTTTTTTCTCTCTCAACAATTTGACTATCACTGTGTCTGGGTGTGAATCCTTTTGAGTTTATCCTACTTTGAGTATATGGAGCTTCTTGGATGTTATATTTAATATTTTCAACAAATTTGGGACGTTTTCAGCTGTTATTCCTTCAAATGTTCTTTTACCCCCTTCAGAGACTCCACCATGTATATGTTGGTATACTTCATGGTGCCCCACAAGTCTCTTAGGTTTTGCTACCCTTTTTTTTTCTTTTGTTCCACATATGATAACAAAAGTTAACCTATCTTCAAATTTCTTGATTCTTCCATCAGCTGAAATCTGTTGATGAATCCTTTTAATAATTTCTTTTCATTTCATCTATTGTAATTTCCAACTCCAGATTTTCTATTTGGTTTTTTATAACTTCTCTCTTTCTCTGTTGGTATTTGGTAAGAGCATTCTCATGTTTTCCTTTAATTCTTCAGCCATAGTTTCCTTCTGTCCTTTAAATAGGTTTACAATAACTGATTTAAAATTTTATCTAAGTAAGCACAACATCTAGGCTTCCTCAGTGACAGTTTTTATTGACTGCGTATGTCCCTGAATTAAGTACCAGTTTGCTGTTGGTTGTATTTTAATTTTTTTTTGTTAAAAACTAGACATTTTAAACAATATAAGGTAGAAAGTTTGGAAATCAGATCTCTTCACCCTCAAAGTTTGTTGTTACTGTTTGTTTAGTGACTTTCCTGGACTAGTTCTGTAAAGCCTATATTCCTTGTCATGTGTGTCCACTGAAGTATCTGTTTAACTACTTAGTGATGAGCTAATGACTGGCATATTTTCTAAAATCTTTTGAACCAAGAGATCTTTCATCCTTTGCCAAAGGGCCCTGTGTTGGGTATGCCTTCAATGCTCTTACAGTTTACAATTCTGCCTTAGCTTCACTTCTTGCTTCCACAGGGTCTAAAATTCAGCCAGCTCAGGCAGATACAGTATTAAACAATTGCTGCTGCTTGTTTTCAACAAATGTCCTGTGGATAGGACTTTTCCACTGAGTCAGATCAAATAAAGACAAGCCTCATGAATACGGCCTTCCCAAAGAGCTGCAAGACAGGTCAAATAGAGACAACTATCTGGGGATATTTGAGGAGCTTGCACCTCTCCAGGGGCTGCAAGTTTTCACAGCTACCATGGATGCAAGGTTACTAATTTCTGGGGATATTGTGGATCTGATGAAACGTTGATTGGATTAGGGCAAGTTAAAGTACAACAAAGCTAACTTTTTTTTAACCCAAAATCAGCTGTTTTATTGAATAAATGCTCCTTGGGTTGCTGGAAGCTTTGGGCTATTTTTAGAAATCTGAAAAACTTGTTTTTGACAATTGTTGTCAGATATTGCTTTTATAGAGAAGAAGATTTTCTGAAGTCCTTACATTAGTATTCCAGAAATCCGCTCTTTACTTGAGTTTGAAAACCATTCTGGTATTGGTGTCTTCTTAAAAGGTTGTAACCATCAGCTCTTAAAATTGCCTAACAAAATATGTGGGATATCTGGTGATATGTGCAGATAAGCTGCTAGGTAAAGTCCATAAACATCTATAGAATTAGAAGAGAGAAAATATGATAAGCTTTGATTTATATTCTATTTTACCTTTGCTGACCACAGGGAAATAAATGTATTTTTGAGAACAGATGCAATTAAAAAAGCATTTATTGTTATAAACATTTGGCTGTATTTCAACTATTTTTAAAATATTGCTTTTTAAAAGATTCACATACTTTAATTTTAAATAAAAGAACATGAGAGACTATAAATGATTCTAGTCATGGTAAGACTGACTGCAACGCATCTAGTTCAATGCCCGGAGTCATAACTAAACAGAAGGAAGGTTACTAAGGTCTCAGTGTATTTCTTTGATGAAATGAGAAAATGGTCATTATAAGGTCTGAGTCTTATAAGGAACCAAACATTTTTAAAATGCATTTTACTAGAACATTTACTATTTTATCTCATACAATTGATTATTCATTATAATGATGCCAAAACAAATTACAAGTTTGAGAAAGTTTGACAACAATGGTAGCATGATCCTAATACTAGATTAGGATATGTTAAACTACAAGTGGTTTCCCATTTACAAACTTCTGGAGTCCTGAATGAGTTTAGTTGCAGGTATGATATGAAAACAACCTTACACCTTTATGTGTGGCTGATGTAGGAGAGAGAGAGAAGAGTAAGGAAAAAAAAAAAAAAAGAACAGATACTTTCTAGATACCTGTCCTGTTTCTCTTAATGTAGCACCTACAATTGTATATGAGACTCTGGGTTTGGGAGTCATGCTGCAAGAGGAAAAATATTGAGTGTCAATCACAATGAATAAAATACTCTAAGAGTTATTACAAAGTCATTAAGAACTTTTCTTGGAAAATCAACTAAAATAAAGCAGATAATACAGAGGAAATCACTCATGAAAATCAACAACAGTAGTCTCAGTGATATTTATGCTATCAATTATGCAGAGTTTCAATGTTCTATACATATTTTAAAAGACACCATGAGCACACTATAAAGGCAAATAACATGATATGTTTTCATTACTATAAATCTTTAGACTCCATGGACCTAAAATCTGCAATTTCAGGAATTTATAAGCAACCATTAAGGTCCTTAATTAAATACTTTTCACTTAATTATTTTATTTATATTTTACATTAAATTTAATTAAGAAATTAATTTGAAGAATTTGAAACTTGTATATTTTAAAGCTAATAGGTGTGGATGAATTACTAAGTTGGTAATTATCCTATCATTTCACTAAGTTTGTATGTTTCCTTCGCATTATAATCTATGCAACAACTCTAGAAGTGATACAAAATTTTGTTTTTGAAAAAAATAAAGCAATTTTCTAGTGTTGGTGATTAACATAAGGAAATGTTTTAGTGTTGGTTCTTAGACAAAACATATTAATTTTGGATAAGTTAAAGTCTAATGTGTTAAATTTAGCTTTGACTCAGATCTATGAGATAAACAGGTCTACCATAAAATACTTCATGAGGGAAATTGCGCTTTCAAAGATAACTTACATTCCTTTGGCTCAGGCTTCTTCAAATCTGTTTTTCTTCATCTAAATTACATTAATGTAAGAAAAGACACATTAAGCATTTTCAAAACAAGAAATGTATTCCCTTTTTAAAACATTTAATTGAAAAGTAAAGATTTTATAGATCAAGGTATACAACAAAATTTGTTATATGTATACACTGTGTATATTCACAATTAAATTATCACACCCATCACCACCCTTGCTGTATATAAGATCCTAAGAACTTGTTCATCTTATAATTGAAAGTTTGTACCCTTGCTCAGTATCTCCCCATTTCCCTTACCCCTCAGACCTTGGCAACCATCATACTACTGTTTTGATGAGTCTCACTTTTTTAGACTTCACATAAAAAGTGAGACCATAAAGTATTTGTCTTTCTGTGTTCAGCTTATTTCACTTAGCATAATGTATTCCAGGTTCACTCATGTTGTTGCAAATGACAGGATTTCCTTCTTTTATGGATGAATAATATTCCATTTTATATATTTCTTTATTCACTTTCTGTCAGTGGACACTTAGGTTGTTATCTTGGCTATTGTGAATAATGCTGTGATGAACATGGGAACACAGATATCTCTTCAATATGTTATTTTCTTTTTTTGGATATGTACCCAGAAGTGGGATTGCTAGATTGATCATATAGTTCTATTTTTAATTTTTTGAGGAACCTCTATAACTGTTTTCCATAGTGGCTATACCAATTTACATCCCAACCAACAGTGTACAAAGGTTCCCTTTGTCCATATCCTTGCCAACACCTGTTATCTCTTGTCATTTTGATAACAGCTATCCTTAACAGGTGTGAGGCTCATTGTGGTTTTGATTTGCATTTCCCTGATGATTAGTGATGTTGAGCACTTTTTACTATAACTATTAGCTATCTTAGAAACTATTTGCATGTCTTTTTTGAAGAAATGTCAATTCGGGTGTAAAGGTATTACTTTTGTTCACCAAAGGTAGGATATTCAAAATATGAAAATAGCACAATAGTCAATTAGTGAGTATACTGTGGAAATCGGTTTTCTACTACAGTTATTTCTTATCTGTGAAATGCCCATTTGTTTGTAACATAGGATTGTCCTTGGTACATAATCACTGAATCAACACATCATTAAATTAGACTTTTCAAACTTTTCAACTGACTTACACCTTAGGAAAAGAAATTAAAGGTATGAAATAAGTAGGAATTGAGTGCTACCATAAGTGGCCCATCACAAATGGCAAATTTCTTCATAATGCTTTATTTTTGTGAATTTACAGTCTACATTATAACATACCTATGTTTGTTTCAATATCAAATTTATGCTTTGTTTTAATTCTGAAAATCTGACATTCCAAGAAAAGACACTATGTTTACCCTGTGGCTTCATTTATCCTCCAGCACACCACCACATAGCTATCTATAGTTTCCAATATGTTTAGATAAATGTTTCTTTCTTTCCTAATATGTCTAATATTATCATACTTTCTTTTATTTCTTCAGCCACGGTTTCCTTCAGTTCTTTGAATAGGTTTACAATAACTGATTTAAAGTTTCACCTAGTAGCACAATATCTAGGTTTCCTCAGTGACAGTTTTTATTGACTGCTTATGTACCTGAAATAAGTGCCACAGTTTACTGTTAGTTGTATTTTATTTTTTTGTGGAAAACTAGACATTTTAAACAATATAAAGTAGAAAGTTTGGATATCAGATCTCTTCTCCCCCAAGGTTTGTTGTTACTGTTTGTTTAGTGACTTTCCTGGACTAGTTCTGTAAAGCCTATATTCCCTGTCATGTGTGTTCATTGAAGTATCTGTTCAACTACTTAGTGGTCAGCTAATGACTGACATATTTTCTAAAATGTTTTGAACCAAGAGATCTTTCATCCTTTGCCAAAGGGCCCTGTGTTGGGTATGCCTTCAATGCTCTGACAGTTTACAATTCTGCTTTAGCCTTCATTTCCTGCTTCCACAGGGTCTACAAGTCAACCACCTTAGATAGAGGCAGTATTAAACAATTGCTGCTGCTTGTTTTCAACAAATGTCCTGTGGATAGGACTTTTCCACTGAGTCAGATCAAATAAAGACAAGACTTATGAATGGGGCCTTCCCAAGGAGCTGCCAAACAGGTCAAATAGTGACCATTATCTGGGGATAAGATATTTGAGGAGCTTGCAGGGGGTCTTAATCTGGAGTCCATTAGAAGGTCCTAGTCTACAGTCCAAGGATAGATTTCAGGGGTGTTAAGAAACAGGCTTGTACTTTCCCGGCCAATGTTAGTTGATAGTCCTTGAATATTCTTAAGAAGGTGGCACTTAAGACCTAACGCCATAAAAACCCTAGAATAAAACCCAGGCAAAACCATTCAGGACATAGGCATAGGCAAGGACTTCATGACTAAAACACTAAAAGCATTGGCAACAAAAGCCAAAATAGACAAATGGGACCTAATTAAATTTCAGAGCTTCTGCACAGCAAAGAAACAATCATTAGAGTGAATCAGCAACCAACAGAATGGGACAAAATTTCTGCAATCTACCCATCTGACAAAGGGCTAATATCTAGAATCTACAAAGAACTAAAACAGATTTATAAGAAAAAAACAAGCCCATTCAAAAGTGGGCAAAGGATACGAAGAGACACTTTACAAAAGAAGACATATACGAGGCCAACAAATGTGAAAAAATGCTCATCGTCACTGGTCATTAGAGAAATGCAAATCAAAACTACATTGAGATACCATCTCACGCCGGTTAGAATGGCGATCATTAAAAAATCTAGAGACATGCTGGAGACGATGTGGAGAAATAGGAACACTTTTACACTGTTGGTGGGAGTGTAAATTAGTTCAACCATTGTGGAAGACAGTGTGGTGATTCCTCAAGGACCTAGAAACAGAAATTCTATTTGACCCAGCAATCCCATTACTGGGTATATATCCAAAGGATTATAAATCATTCTATTATAAGGACACATGCGCATGAATGTTCATTGCGGCACTGTTTACAATAGCAAAGACTTGGAATCAACCCAAATGCCCATCGATGATAGACTGGACAGGAGAAATGTGGCACATATACACCATAGAATACTATGCAGCCATAAAAAATGATAAGTTTGTGTCCTTTGCAGGGACATGGATGAACCTGGAAACCATCATTCTCAGCAAACTAACAAAAGAACAGAAAATCAAACACCAAATGTTCTCACTCACAGGCAGGCATTGAACAATAACACATGGACACAGGGAGGGGAGCATCACACACTGGGGTCTGTGGGGGAGAACTAGGGTAGCGACAGCGGGGGGTGGAGAGTTGGGGAGGGATAACATGGGGAGAAATGCCAGACATAGGTGATGGGGAGGAAGGTAGCAAACCACATTGCCATGTATGTACCTATGCAACAATCTTGCATGTTCCTCACATGTACCCCCAAACCTAAAATACAATAAAATACATATTAAAAAAAAAAAAAAAGAACGTGGCAGTATAGAAAGCTTCTATGGAAACCTGAGGAAAGATATGAAACTTCTAATCAGAAAAATGCACTTATGCAAATATTTGCATGAATTTTCACTATCTCTGCCAACCCCTTAAAATCCATTCTTAGACACTAAATAAAAACCCCATGACTTTAAACATATTAGGAAAAAAAAATTATTTAAACATTTTGAAACCTACAGTTTAAAACTAAACAATAGAAAAAGAAGGAATAAATAGTACCAAATAGTTTTTCAAGCATTCCAATCTTCCATAGGAATGGAATCATAGAGTAAAAGATTAGCAGGTTATTAAAGCCTATGCCATACTTCACTAAGAACCATAAACACATAGTCCTACCATCTTGAATACACATACATGTAACCAGGTCAGTCTCTAACTAGCAAACAATATCAAATAAATCCACAATGATCTTATGGTTTCAGTTATACACATAAGAGAAAAAGATACCTACTTTGAGGTAAGGCACAGGAAGAGGAGGTACAATGGGACATCTCACTTATTCTCTGCTTTAAAATCACCCTAGAAAAAAATTCTAGAAACTTTTTAGATTTGTACTGCCCTGAAACCAAAATTCACCCAGTTAGACAGTATTTATACACTCCTGTAGACACCCAAATCCATTGTTTGAAAAAAAACTTGATAGTCATAAATTTACACCTCCCCATTCCCATCATTCCACCACAGCCCCAAAACGGAAAACCAGCAGGACCAGTAAATAACTTTGCTAGTGGTAAACATTGCTAGAATTCACATAGTAAAAATTCTATAATGAAGGTGCTACCAAACCTTCAAATATTCAAGATTATTGCTCTTGAAAATGGCAAAGCTCCAGAAAGAAATTAGGTTGAAGAAGGGGTAAGAGAAGAATTTTCCTAGGCCAGGCACAGTGGCTCACGCTGGTAATGCCAGCACTTTGGGAGGGGAAGGCAGGTGGATAGCCAGAGGTCAAGAGTTTCAGAGCAGCCTGTCCAACATGGTGAAACCCCCTCTCTACTAAAAATACAAAAATTAGTGAGGCATGGTGGTGGGCACCTGTAATCCCAGCTACTCGGCAGCCTGAGGTAGGAGAATTGCTTGAATCGAGGAGGCAGAGGTTGCAGTGAGCCGATATCACGCCATTGCAAAACTGTCTTGAAGAGAGAGAGAGAGAGAGAGAGAGAGAGAGAGAGAGAGAGGGGGGGGGAGGGAGAGAGGGAGTGAGAGAAGGATTTTCCTAAATTTATACTTAAAATTTGGGGTGGGAGAGATTGGGAGTAAAAAGTGATTAAATAAATATAACAATTCTGAGAAAATGAATGGACCTGAGGCTGTGCTGGACTGGTACTCCTCTTTTGTAAGAACTGATCTGAATTTCTCTAGACTGAGTGGAAATAAACAGAAGCAAAGGTTCTATGTGTAGCCGAACGGAGACAGGAATTGGGGACCCTCGGACCTATATCCACTTTTTCACTTCAAAATGGGTTTGCTTGTTCTCTTGCCACAGTCAAAACAGAAAAGCCCTGACTTTTTCTTCTGCCTGTGCTCTACACTACGGACATATCTGCCTATTTAAGATGCATGTTGTCTGAAGTCTGTGAAAAATGAAGTTGAAATCTAAATACTTAAATCCTGTATAAACAAAATTACCTCCCACTCCCCTGATGAGGGCATCCACCTTTGTTAATAAAGATTTGTGGATATTAAAAGTGATCAGGAACCTCTATGTGGTCTGTACTAAGAACCACTGGATTCCATGTGGCCTCCTATTCCATTATGTGGCAGGAGTCTATGATTATTACATAGGGTCACCATTCATCTCTTCTTCAACGACTTTTATTAAAAAATATTGTACTACCGCTATTTTCTTTTAACATCTGTTATTTTTTTCTCCTCACTGTAATGGTATATAATTCAAATTGCAGATTCTAGACTATGATATGAGGGAGAGTTCATTTACTTATAAACATAAACTGACTACATAGAGAACAGTTAGTGAGCATTATGCTAGTGTTGT